CGACTCCCACCACTTCCCGCTCGGCCGCCAGTTACCGGTTCGGTAAAACGGTAAACCGTTTACCGGATTACCGTTTACCACCCCTAGGTTTGCCGTTGATGTGTTGGCTAGCGATGGCCCAGTTATGATATACTCCTCGGTATGGTCCATTGAATATGACATACCATTTGCTTCCTTTTCTGTCGTCTTCTTCGTAGTGGGAATCTCTTGCCTCTTTTTCTTCTTTTTTCAATGATGTCTGCCCATCATGTCGTCTTTTGTATATTATTGCTAGTAGTAGTGGACGATTGTATCGCTGTCGACTTTTCTTTTTCAACCAGTTCTGTGGTGGGTATTGATGGTTTTCTGTTAGCAGAGTTCATTGATAGTGTTCTAACGTCGATGTAGTTGATTTTTAGTTGTTGCGGTATAACATTCATTGATTGAATTATTGCTTCTTCCTCCCCCTGCAAAGGAGAAGTTGTTGTTCCAGTGCTGCACTCTTTTCCTGCTTCTGCTTTAGTTGAATGATGAGGGTTTTTATAAATCCTTTCATTCTCGAGTTAGTGTGTATGTGAAAGGATTGTTGCTGGAATTGATATACTTCAGATAAGGATTGTAATAATGGAGTTGTTGTTGTCACCTGATTAATCTTCCTTTGTTGAAATCTGCTTGTAGCTTGTACCTCCAAAAACCTGTTACATATTTAGAGTCGGTTTGAAGTTCAAACCTTGTGGATAATAATTCAAGCTTCCATTTTTTCAATGTTCGGAGACAGGCTAGTGTCTCTAATTCGTGGATCGGATAGTTCTGTTCAGTGGCGGTAAATGTTCCAGAAATATATTTACATAATTTCTTAGAATATTTATCACTGTTGAAAGGAACTGATAATTGAGAACTCGAAAGTTCAGTAATATTGTCCGTAGACTGATAATCTTTAGGCTTTTGGCCAAAGACAGTAGCCTCGTTATTTTCAATTTTGACATTACCAAAATTGTCCATTTGTAATAATTCTTTGTCATTTTGTATTGCTAACATGCACCCTGCCCAAGTGTCCTTAGAGGCATCCGTTTGAATTATTAGAAAATCGTTTTCACACGGGTTATATAATTTTGGTAAATGCTGACATTTTTCTTTCATTAATAAAACTATTTTTGTATCTTGATCATTCCATGACCAAGGGATTTTGTCAGAAATCTTTTTCTGTAAATGTTTTCTCTCTTTTGCTAAATCTTTTAAAAATCCTTGTTCACTAATATAATTTAAGCATCCAAGAAAATGTTGAATTTTTTTTCTATTTTCGAGTTGGTTTGGGAATTTATCGATCTTTTCTTTAGTATTTGGTGACAACTCAATTTCCCCGAAACTATTAATCTTCATACCAAGATATTCAATTTCCCTTTGGAGAAGTTTGATTTCTTCTTAGAAATAATTAGATCTTTATCTTTTATTCTCTGTAAAACTATCAAGATTTTTTCACGATGATCTTCCTCTGATTTATTTGTGAAAATAATAATATCATCAATGTATTCTAGACAGAACGATTGAACACCCTCTAAGACATGATCCATAAACCGTTGGTAAATAGCTAGTGCTTGTTTCATTCCAAATGGGAGAACATTCCATTTGTAATGTTTTTGTGGTGGACATGAAAAGACTGTTAAAGGTTTGGTATTCTCATGTAGACGAAGTTGCCAATATCCTGATTTAGCATCTATTTCTTCGATTGGTTCAAAACCCCAATCGTAAGCTAATCTAAGGACTTCTTGTTTTCTAGTGTTAGTATTTTTCTTAGGACATTTATTTGCGTAATGTCCTTCTTCGTTACATAACCAACATCTACAATTTGTTTTTCCCTTAGGACAGTATTCTTGTTGTTTTGATTTTTGTTTAAACTTTTTTCTATTTCTGAAATATTTATTTGGTTTTCTGAACCTGTTTTTTCTATATTCTTTTTAAGGTATTTTTCTCCATTTTTTATAATTTCTATATTTTTTTCGAGTTTTAATAATCTTACGATCATTATTACACCCATATTTTCCAACTCTGTCCATTGTTTCTTCACAACAGAGTTTAATTTTAGCTTGTTTCTTTAGTTTTTCCTTATTACAAGCTCCTTTATGCCATTATTGTAAAACTAATATTCGACCTCCTAGTGTATATGGTATTTCTTCTTTTGTAAAAGATTCATTAAAGATAGCTTCGACTTTTCATAGACATTAGGTTGTAATTTAGCATAGAGTAATTTATCTAGTTCTTTCCTTATTGAAAGGGTGACTTGATAATAGTGTGTTCTGAATTCACAAATAAATGGTTCTAAGAAGCACATGTTACAGATTCTAAGATTAGTTAAATGTCAAAAAGCTTGTTGACTTATGGTTGTGTTTGGTTTATTTTCTCGAGGATGTCGTCCTAAGAATTCATGAGTTATTGCATTTAAAACTTTTTCAAAGGTATTTGTAACATCCGTTGTTCCATATAACATTGTCTTAGTAGGAATATCCATGTTGTTAAGATAATGATAAACTGCCCCAGTTGTTTATATATTAAGAAATTAAACATTTCGTTAGGATGTAATTTTCTTAGATCTTCATTAGTTTGTATTAATAATCCTGTTCGATTTTTCCAGTCTTCTAATTCTTTTAATGGGTTGATGCAACAATCAAGATCTAATATATCAGGACTGTTAAAACTAGTGGTGGAATATTTTGGTATGTAAGATTGAGGTATTTTACTCCATCCTCCCCCTTTGCGAGGTGTATATGAGGGGAATGGATCAGGTCAGTAACCTTATGGTGAGTAACCATGAGTAACCCGTCCACATCACGTGACATCAGCATCCTCTCTCTCATGGAAAGCCTTTAATTTTTCCCTCTTTAATCTTTGACTGACGATTTCTCGCTCATTTTAAGTCGAAATTTAATTTTTTTTACACAGTTAGATCAGATTAATTGTGCTCTTCAAAATGATATCCACTTTAATATATTTTTCGAACAAAAAAATTGAGCCATTTTTTATCAGCCTATACCATATGGTATTGACTGGTATTAAAATAAAAGCATACCTATGTTTGGAAAAACGTACCATGGTGGTATGAACAAACCAATACTGTAGGATGGTTGAATACATGATAGTAGAAGTATATTAATTGTAATTTACGACTTTTAACATTGTATACCACAAAATACCACCCCGTACCAGGGTGGTATTGTATGGTATTGTGTGGTATTTTTTGGTCCTGTAATTTGTTCACCCAGAAATTTGTAAATCCAATAGATCATGATGAACTCGTCCCTTCTGTGAAAACGTTTTCAAAAACGAATTAAAAACGAAGAAGATACCATACAATACCACCCCATACCAAGGTGGTATTGTATGGTATTGTGTGGTATTTTTTTGTCCTGTAATTTGTTCACCCAGAAATTTGTAGATCCAGTAGATCATGATGAACTCATCCCTGCTGTGCAAACGTTTTCAAAAATGAATTAAAAACGAAGAAGATACCATATGGTATGCAGTTGGTACCGAGAGGCCAGAATTTTTTTTTCCTAAAAAAATATTAAAAATTGATCTCATTTTGTAGAGCACGGTGAACTCGTTCCATCTGTGCAAAAAAAATTAAAATCCGAGTTAAAACGAAAAAGATATGAGTCAATTAAGAAAGCTAGTGAAAATAAAAATAGCCTTTAATTCTCCATCCTTAGATCTGGATTTTCTAAATGAAGGGTCCAGATTTGGTTATTGATGGGTGCATAACCCATGGTTATGCACCCTATCTTGAGCCGTATATGAGTTTTTATATAAGTATTCATAAAAAAATAGCTGACCATCTTTATAGTCATTAAAATCACGCTTTCGTGATGTTTCAGGTTGATCCTCAGTTTCAGTTTTTGTGTAATTTGCATTTGTGTAATTTTTATAGGGGTTTTCGTCGCTACTATAGTCAAGAACTATTTTATCATTTTCTATATTTTCTTCTATCTCTGGTTCCGATTCAATAGTAATTGCGGCTAGTAAATCATTTAATTTATTAATTTGTTCGTCAATACTAGTCATAGAAGTTTGTAGGGTGCCATGATAGTTAATGGGCTAGATTTTACTGATTTATACTCATTCAAGTATTCTTTCATATCTTCAATTGTAATGCTTCTTTTATTATCTAATTTAATTATTATTTTTTGAAGTTTAATAATGATTTCCTTAAGATCTTCTACCGGTAATACTATTTCCTTAGAATTTGGAGTTGTTTTTCCCATTGCTACTTCTCTTTGTTTTATATCCACCAAGGTTGTCAAACCGGTTTATGCCAGTGTGCCGGTTTAGCAAATGGAATGGTTCGACCGGTGGTACATACCGGTTTGTGCCTGTTCATGCCGGTTAATATTACAAATAATTTACAAATACTCATATTTAAACACGACATTTAACGTCAATACCTAAATATTTGTACTTGGATCCAACAAATAACATCAACATTTAACTTTTTAACACATAAAATAAATAATATATTATTTTTTATCAATTAAATTCACTAAGATAAGGTCATTTTACTTGGAGATTCGTATATCGATCATGCCGGTCATACCGGTGGTGTCATGCCGGTTTTATTACTGATACAGGTTGAACCAGGTTCAACCAGTGGCACGCCGGCCGGCGTGACAACCATGATATCCACTATTATATTGGTAAGTGTATCCTTAGCGAGTTCTAATTCTGAATATATATCTTTTTGTTTTTCATTACATTGATATTCTAATATTGATCTTAATTGTTTATTATTATCTTCTATTATATTTATTAGATTTTCTTGATATTCATCCATTTTTTCCTCTAATTTTTCTAGTTTTATCGAAATATTTTCAGTAGCCATAATTTTGTGACTATAAAGTTAATATTAGTTAATACATTTTGGATATTAATTAGTATATGCTAACAAAAGAGCTTGTTAGCATTTTAACTTTTTGTTGTTTTGGGTAGGGGTGTTCAAATTGTTGGTCCAGTCCTAACCGAACTATTGCGCACTGCTCCGGTGGGCAAGATGAAGGGCATTGATAAAAGGAAGAGAGAACCCGCAGCCGTTGGATCAATAATCAATCCGAGTGGCCGCTAAATCGTAAATATTGTGCTACCGCCGTACTGCCGGCAGCGGACTTTCTGGTTTCCCTCCGCCGAGCCGTCTAAAAACCCCTTTCACTCCTTCGCTCTCCCCCGCCCTAAAAACCCTCAAGCAGCCAGCTTCTTCTTTTACCTCTGCTGCTCCGACTTCCCGCTCAACAGCTCAGGTCAGAATCAATCGCCTTCATCTCTCTTTCTTTCCCGAACTCTTCCCCACTCAATGTAGGGTTTGGATTCTTTTAATCCATCATACAAGCGAAATTCTAATCGTATGAGTAATGCATTTTTTGCCGGAATTTCCTGTTTACCGTATGTTGATTTGATGAGTAAGTAGTACGCCGATGGTAGATTTTGAGGGAGTAGTACAACTGAAAGGTGCATTTTGCCAGTTTCATCTACTCCTCCCTGAATTGGATAATCTGTTTGCTCATCCAAAACCCTAGTTTCTCACTCTACTGCTTGGAAGAACAGCTGAAGGAACGGATGAGATTGTTTGATTGATTAGTGTTTACTTGTTTGTTTCGGCGGTAACAGGCATGGTGGACCCATGGTGGTCGTTGCTAGGAGCAGCGATTCCAGCCGTGATCGCAGGCCAGGCTTTCAGGGTGAAGAAGAAGAGAGCAGAGGAGCAGAGGCTGAAGAGCGCGAGGGGCAGGGAGAAGAGCTCCGACGAGATCTTTGTCTGCGAGAGGGTGTGCACTTCCAAGCGGATGCTGAAGAAGATGGGCGCGCTGTCGAAAGACCCGATCGTCGATACCTGCGTCACCGTATGTGGCGTCTCCGAGATCGATGCCTGTGCGGATGCCTGTGCTCGAACAGTGTGTGTGAACCAGCATCAGGTTCCAAACTGGAACGATGTTTGCCTGAGGAGGTGCCAGAGCGAGTGCCTGAGGCTCTCTAATACCCCTGCTGCTTCTTGATACTTTGCAGCAAGAGGTTTTTTTTTTCTTCCACCTTTTTGTTTCTCTAGGTATATGATCATGTTTGAGTCTTTCCATCCTTTTCGCGACGATGCTATCGATCGAGCCATGACACCAGTTTATCTGTTGGCTTCTTCCATCTTGTATGTTCTGGGTAGCTTGGTAAATGTTCATAGCATCGAGCCAGGACACCAGTTTATCTGTTGGCTTCTTCCATCTTGTATGTTCTGGGTAGCTTGGTAAATGTTCATATGGTTCTTTCACCACCCCCATCATTTCTTTCCATGTTAGTTCTATCAGCCATTGACTCCCTATATCTCCAAGAACAACCAGAACGCTCACCACGCAGGGCTTGTCTTCTGATTAATGAAAGGCTGGCTATTCGGGTAAATGTTCCATTTCCCCAGTCGCGATATTTAGGTGCCGGCTAAGGGGAGGAAATGTTTTGGGACGATGAGTAAGTGAGAACCATATTGTGGGGGTTAATGTCCCCAAAAAGGGCCATTTTGGGAGGGTTTGGAACGATGGCTAGCTACTGGGGATTTGCATGTATTGATGAAGAGAACCGCCTTTGTCGTCTTAGGATCATGATCTCGTTCCTTCACTTAGGATTGACAACAGACTGATAGTACATATACATTACCTTATAGATATACATTACCTTACAGAAAGTAGTAGGGTTTTATTCATGCTCATATATGAATTAGGTAAAAAATCAAAATTAGGTCAATATCCAATTAGATTTCGGATTTTATGGTTATACATGAGTAGTAATTTTCCTTTATAACTTTTACAAACATGTCAACAAGTAGTGGAACAATAAATCACCGAAATGAATAAAATTAGTGGGAGATACCACTATTTTTTTCTTTGCCAGAGTTGAAGATACCACTATTTCATGAGAATATTATATATATGTATAGAAAATATAAAATATTACGAGAAAACTAAAGATCATTTCTAGATAAAATATGTGTATGCATAATCAAATGGGTTTAGGTTGGGTAGTGAGAAAATAATTCAAGCAAAGTTATACACATTTATACCTTTCTTTTTTTGTCGGTTCACTTGTGTTTCATTGTTTTTGGAGACATTTTCGCTAGGTTTTGCATGTTTGAGTGAATTTTAGGTCCTAGCAGGTGAAAATGACAACAAAAAAAAAACAAAATTCGGACAAAAAGGAGTAAAAATGGGACAAAATGGTGAAAAGTGTCAAAACTCACGATTTAGGGCATTTTCTCATGGCCACGACGTGACTTGTACATCAAACTCGCGAGGATTGCATGGATCCCGGGAGGAAGAAGACGTCTCGCGGGCATGTGCAAATGTCATGGTTGAGAGACATTGACATCAACACTCAAAGCGTGAGGTCTACAGAGTCCCAGGAAGCATAAGTCATCTCGCGGGTAGTCGCAAATCACACGGCTTCAGGCCATGAGAATTACACCCTGATTTTGAAGATTGTTAGTAAAACGATGCGCATCCAGTCGATCTCACGATTTAGTAGCAAACCTCACGGTCGTGACGGGCAACCGTGAACTTTGCATTTTCTGGCTATTTAAAGTTGCAAAAACCAGATTTCAAAGGGAGGAGCTTAGAGTAAGAAAGTGCATCTACTAGGTAAAGAGAGAGTGACGAACCTAGAGAGTTCGAGGAGATTTGGAGCTTTCCACTACCATTGAAGGCTTGATTGCACCACCAAGAGTAGCCAAGGAGCAAGATCTTCTTCCTATGATATTGTCTTCTCTATTTTGGTTGTATTTCTCTTCCTACCTATGCAGTAGTTCTCATGTCACTAGGGTGTTGACGAACCCTAGTCAATATGTCGTAATTGATTATTTGTGAACCTCACCTTAATTTACATCTTGATTATATATTGAGTTGAGTATTATTCATGAAGTTGATGGTCCTTGATCACTTCCCTCAATGTGAGTCTAATTGACCTAGGAGAGGGAATATTTTCCTAGGGTTGATTAAGAGCATTGACAATTCAACACTTGGTGTCTATGAACGAGTGTGATTAGATCCTCTATATCGTATCGATTTTTACCTAATTGTGGGAGTAGTTGTGGTTGCCTCAATTACCTAGGTTGGTTGTAGGTACGCCTCTCCGAGTAGTGTGATTGATCAGGATTAGATAGCCCGAATAGGGTGGTATGTGCTAGAGTAAATCGAATTAGGGTGTCAGAACGTCGATGCAACATAGACTAGGAGAAAACACATATGGGTGAAGCTTTTCTCAATTGAAATCAATTTCATTTACTCTCATAGACTAGGGGAAAGGATGTGGACTGTTGTTACTTTATACAAAGAAGCATTCTAGAGTCTCAGTCAGATGCATGACTCACATAAACCAAACAGAAGAAAGGCGTTTCCAAAAGCTCGTTCCGTACCAGTTGTGACCAACGTTAACTGCACTTGACTGCTGCTGTTCTATCAAAGCTATCATCAATCACAATTGAGACAAGGCCTACCCCAGTCTAATAAGGAAGCCATCACGGTCGATAACTTCATCACTGACCAAGGCATTTATGCCAACCACCTGCATACAATCTCAACTTCACAAATCTCAAGCAGCTTACAGATAAAAATATGGATAAAGGTTAAAGAGCAGAGCATATCCAATTCATTTTGATGTAGCGCTGCGATACATCCATCTCCAAGCAAACATGAGATTGGCACGCAGGCACATACCGGGGCCAAAATATGCAAACACTTGATAGACGCAGAACAAACCATTAATCATTCAAGGATGTAAAACTAGTTCAACCGAAAAAATATAACATTTTCTTGCATCCAGAGAAGGAACACCTTCGCCTAAATGACATTGCTGCATGTTTGCAAATGTTAAAACATAATTCATTATGAACAATGAAGCAGTCAGTCATCACAAAGGCTACCATACATCTAAGAAAACCCTAAACCACATAAAGCTGAGAGAGCCAGGAGATGGGAAAACAAATTGCGACTACAACAGCACCTTCTATGCCTTCATTCTCCCATACTGAGAGAGAGCAGCAGGCTGCTCCTACAAACAGCTACCACTTCATAATCCTTCTGCATCAGTCTTTAGTAAAGCTCATGCACAGCGGGGAAAACATGGTTTCTTAGGCCCGCTCGATTACGTTTGCCCCGGTAACGGGTTTTTTCTTGGCCTGCCTCGTTTCCTTGCTACCACTCCAGACGAACTCCCTTGCACTGGAATGGATGGTGGCACTGTCGACTGCGGCACAGCAGGCGTTACTACTGAAAATGGGGTAGCAGCAGCTGGTGGTGGAGGAGCACCATTTCTTTCACCAACTTGCTGCTGCCCCGCTCCGCCGAACATCGGTGGCATCCAATTCACAAAGGCAGAGCCAGAAGCAGCAGCAGCAGAATTACCACCACCATCTGAAGCAGAACTTTTGTCTCCATTTCCAAGCACAAATCCAAGCGGGAAAAAACCCCATGAGCAGTAATACGATTCTTTCCCTGGCACCATAGGCGGCAGGGATTGAATCGAAGCAGCATGGAAAGCCCTCTCACATTTCTCGCATCTCAAGCAGCAATCCTCATAAACCCTAGGGTACTCGTACATTATGTAACAGTAGGGGCAAAGCGTCCAAAACGAGGCAATCCTCGCCGACCTCCGATTGTTACTAGTATGATTCACATCGCCGGAGCTACTATCACTATTGAAATTGACGGTAGTTCGAGGGCTATTGTTATCATCATTGTCACCTGCATGACGCTGGCTTCTGCGGACGGGCAATTTGTTGCCGGCGTTGGACAAATCGACCTTGGTGTACAAGTTGAAGTCGCGGTCGAAGGGGGATTTCTTGGAGGAATCGGAGAGGACGGCCCACGCGTCGGCGACGAGCTTGAAGGCGTGATCGGCGAAGGGGAATTTGTTCTTGTCCGGGTGGAGGAGGAGGGCGAGGCGGCGGTACTGCTTCTTGATGAGGTCGGCGTCGTCGGTACCGGCGGGATCGAGCTGGAGAATCGAGTACCAGTCGTGGTGGTCTTCGTTGATCTTCTTGTCGGAAGAGAGGATGACGTCGGCGATGGCCAAGATCTGATCGGAGCCGTCGAGGAGGGGATCGGTCTCTTGAGCTAGGACGGCGAAATCCTTGCTTCCGATGAAATCCCGCGACAGAAGGAGCTTCTCGGCGACTCCAAGCAGGCGTTCCGCCTCGGCTCTGTTTGGAGCTCCGCCGTTGGAATTATCGTTCATTGCCTTTTCTTTTTCGTCTTCCTTTTTGGCCCCTCTGAGTTCAGGGTCGGGTTTGGGGTAGTTTCCGGTTTCGGTATTATTGGCTTGATGGGGTGGAAATGGAATGGAAGAATGGTGGTAGGGAAATGTGCGAAGATAAAAGTTAAACGAAACCCGACAAGAATTATAAAAATAATAATCAATTAATTATTAAATTGGTGTACTCACTCTATAAATATACTGAATGGCTAAACGTCGTCCTAGTTTTACTATTATCGCCCTAAATTAAAATATAAAATTACTAGATTAACCTTAATAAATAATCGGAAACCAACTAAACAAGCCCCCTTAAAACTAAAACTGAATGACTAAACGTCGCCCTAGTTTTACTATTATCGCCCTAAATTAAAACATAAAATTACTAGATTAACCTTAATAAATAATCGGAAACCAACTAAACAAGCGCCCTTAAAACTAAAATCCCTAATCCCAGAAGAATATTGGAGCCGAGTTTCTTTTTTTGGGTAGAAGGAGCCGAGTTTCTGGGTATCAAGCAGGGATCTCTTCATCAAGTAGTAAGAACAACTAAGCAAGATTGCTTTTCCTAAGCTGACGCATCTGTAGTTTAACATGTTTGTGGGAGGATAGGGATGGGTATTCATGATTGAGTCCCATCAGAAGCTGAGTGTTCTCCCCAATCACCACCAACCAATCCGCCGCCGAAAAGATCCGACGGGATAAAGAAGCATGTCTCGCCGTCGAATTTCCTGGCTACACTCACTCGCTCGGTTCCATCGGCAAAGTAATGTCGCGCATGGCTACTGACAGGGCCCCGCCTCCTCCGCTACGCCACCGCCTAGAAGAGGCTCGTCTCCGCTCCCGAAGCCAGAATTTTGAGGCCTTGATGTTGATCAAGAAATGGGTCGGTGAACTGATTTTTTATGAGTGTTGGTGATAGTTTCTAGTGCCTGATCTGAGACTTCGAAATTCAAGGGGATAAGCAGGAGAGAGTACGTGATAAGAGAAAAGGTTAAAAAGGTAAATTTGATTAGGGCGATTATAAAATTTAGGGCGATAATTAGCAATCCCTAAAACTGAATGGCTAAACGTCGCCCATATATATTATAACATAGTTGAGTGCAATTTTTCATCATTCCAATTTTTCTATACAGAGAGTGAAAGTAGAAAAGGTAATTCTGTCTTCACAATCATTAATTTATTTTTCATACATAAGAAAAAAAATATCAATCTCGAGATTCAAACCATGATCTTTTCAAACGAAGACAACAATCATTACCAGTTACACTAAATATATGTTTTGTATTTTTTTTGACAAAATGCACTTGTATAGCCAAAATTTCGCGTTTGTGCCAATAATGGCCAAATTTGGAGAAATACCACTTGTAGGCAAACTTTTGTAATTGTTGCATGACAAATCTAGCCATTTTCTTTAAATATTTTTACGGTGTTAGTAACATCGTCAGCTTCTTTGAGATTCACTGACTAGGCTCCCACTCAGCGCACACGTCAGCGCCAAATAAGATGAAATGCTGACGTGGCATCTAATATTGCTTATGTGTAATTCTTTTATATTACTTAATACTAAATAAAAAAATAAACATCAATATACAAAAAAAAATCATGCGTTCTCCCCATTCCATATCCATATGGGCCCGTTTAGTATCATTTTGTTGTTGTTGTGGTTGCAGTGGTGTTGTGTAAACAGATGTACAACCACAACAGGAAAAAAACAGAAAACACAAACCTGTTTAGTTGATAAATCTGAAAAATCATGAAAACTGACAACAAGAAACAAAAACGCGTTTAGTTACTACTGTACATGCCACAAAACAAAGAACCATTTTCATCACCATTTTCAACAATTTTCTCCATAACTGAGGTAAACCACAAAACAAAGAACATAGCAATCAACCAAATTCATAAATAACTAATCTAGCAATCATTACATACATGCCAAATTCATCAACATATTCAGAAAGTATAGATTAACATAATACTTTGAAGAAGTTGAAGTTACCTGCTGTGGGGGAGATGAAGTGAGGCTTTTGTGGCGGGGAAGTGGTCGGCGGAGGCAGGGGGGACTGGCGACGGCGGCGAGGTGCACGGGCGGACGTCGGTGGCGGGTCGGCGGGCTACGCGGCGGAGGTTTCGTGCTGCTCGGCGGGCTGGGTCGGCGCGGAGGGCTGGGTCGGCGGCGCGGCGGAGGGCGGCGTGGCAGAGGTGGCGGAGGGGTCGGGCGCGGTGGGCTGGGTCGGCGCGGAGGCGGAGGGCGGCGCGGTGGAGGTGAGGCGGAGGTGGCGCCTCTGTTGAGAAGGGTGGCGGCCGACCTCTGTTGAGAAGAGTTTGGGGGGAGAAGGGTTTGGGGGGGGGGGCGGCTGATAAGTTGAAGTAGGGTTGGGGGGCTGTGTTAAAAAAAAAAAAAAATTTGCTTCTGTGGGGATTCGAAAACTGGTCTGGTTTAATGAAATCAAGTGCCCAACCAGTAGGAATCCCGTGTGCAACATGTTTAAGAATCAGATCCAAAGCAATAAATTGTTGTTTCTCATATTTGGGCCCTGTTGTGCAACTCTGATTCACAACAGAAAATAAAAACCCAACTAAACACGATTTTTTTTCTTGGTTTTCCAAATTTCATAAAACAAAACAGAAACAAAAAACAAGCAACAATACTAAACGGGCCCATAATCTCCTTGTTTTCAAGCCTCTTCTTCTCCCCCAACAACCCACCACCTTCTTTCTTTTCAATCTTATTTTTTTCTAAAACTAGGAAATGATAGGTGTCATTGCCATTAATCGCCTGCGAATAATACGCCGGAGCTCCAATAAGTGCCCCGCCGGAGTTTGGTCCATCTCTCTCCATCGAGAAAGCGAACAAAGAGAGAGAATGGAGGATGAGAGCGGCAACGGCGGCGGGGAAAGGCAGCAACACCTTGGTGATTCTCCTCTCTCCATCCACTAATGACCGACGAAACATAGATGGGAAGTGGGAGCTGGAAGGCAGGTTGTCCTCGTCGCCGTCGCCGTCTTCGCCGGGAGGAAGATGGAAGAGGACGGAGGAGAACGGGGGAGCACCGCTTCCATCCCCTCTTATACCCTACTGCCGCCGCTTCCACTTAATCATCTCCCTCTTCCAGCTAACCCAAAACGATGAACCACCAGAAATCCCCGCCGGGATCGCCATTCTTCTATATCTTCTCGCCCATTTCTTGTCTTCTTATGCTTCTGCGAGATCGATTGGGGTGAGAATTAGTGGGAAACCGAAAGGAGAGGAAAACAGATCTGAAGCCATAGCCGACAATTCATGTTTTGCATATTGTCCTGAAGAAATGGCGTCAGATTTGACAGCGACGGTCTTAGGCGGCAAAGAAAGAAGAGGTGTTCCCTTTCCGAACGCCGAAGAACCATCAATCATCTTCTATCTAAAGATCGGTGTCGAATGAGTTGGGGAAGGTGAAAGTGTGCGAGCCCTTCTAGTGTGCTCTATAGCACCCATGCTATAAAAAGGTGACCTGTTGAGGAGGTAAACCCACTAAATGACTGGTCTCACATCATTAATGGCAATCTTGTAAATAATGAATCAATGTATACAAGTGTAGGTACAAATTAGAGTTGTACCATATCGTATAGGTACAAGTTTCAGCTGTACCATTGAAGAATTTGTTTCACAAAGTGTAGGTACAACTTAAAGTTGTACCATTAGTATAGGTACAATTTTGAGTTGTACCATGAAGGGATTTATTAGAAAGTGTAGGTACAACTTAAAGTTGTACCATTAGTATAGGTACAATTTTGAGTTGTACCATGAAGGGATTTATTAGAAAGTGTAGGTACAACATAAAATTGTACCATTAGTATAGGTACAATTTTTAGTTGTACCATAAGGGATTTGTTATAAAGTGTAGGTACAACTTAAAGTTGTACCATGGTATAAGTACAATTTTGGGTTGTACCATAGAAGCATTTTGAAAAAGTGTAGGTACAACATAAAGTTGTACCATGGTATAGGTACAAGTTTGGGTTGTACCATAGAAGGATTTTGAAAAAGTGTAGGTACAACTAAAAGTTGTACCATTAGTATAGGTACAATTTTGAGTTGTACCATAAAGAGATTTATTAGAAAGTGTAGGTACAACTTTAAGTTGTACCATTAGTATAGGTACAATTTTGAGTTGTACCATAAAAGGATTTATTAGAAAGTGTAGGTACAACTTAAAATTGTACCATTAGTATAGGTACAATTTTTAGTTGTACCATAAGGGATTTGTTAGAAAGTGTAGGTACAACTTAAAGTTGTACCATGGTATAGGTACAATTTTGGGTTGTACCATAGAAGGATTTTGAAAAAGTGTAGGTACAACATAAAGTTGTATCATGGTATAGGTACAAGTTTGGGTTGTACCATAGAAGGATTTTGAAAAAGTGTAGGTACAACTAAAAGTTGTACCATTAGTATAGGTACAAGTTTGGATTGTACCATAGAAGGATTTTGAGAAAGTGTAGGTACAACTTAAGGTTGTACCATTAGTATAGGTACAATTTTGAGTTGTACCTTAAAGAGATTTATTAGAAAGTGTAGGTACAATTTAAAGTTGTACCATTAGTATAGGTACAATTTTGAGTTGTACCATAAAAGAATTTGTTAGAAAGTGTAGGTACAACTTAAAGTTGTACCATGGTATAGGTACAAGTTTGGGTTGTAGCATAAAAGAATTTTGAGAAAGTGTAGGTACAACTTAAGGTTGTACCATTAGTATAGGTACAATTTTTAGTTGTACCATAAAGGTATTTGTTAGAAAGTGTAGGTACAACTTAAAGTTGTACCATGGTATAGGTACAAGTTTGGGTTGTGCCATAGAAGGATTTGGAGAAAGTGTAGATACAACTTTTAGTTGTACCATTAGTATAGGTACAATTTTGAGTTGTATCATAAAGAGATTTATTAGAAAGTGTAGGTACAACTTAAAGTTGTACCATGGTATAGGTACAAGTTTGGGTTGTACCATAGAAGGATTTTGAGAAAGTGTAGGTACAAATTAAAGTTGTACCATGGTATAGGTACAAGTTTGGGTTGTACCATAAAAGAATTATGAGAAAGTGTAGGTACAACTTAAGGTTGTACCATTAGTATGAGTACAATTTTTAGTTGTACCATAAAGGGATTTGTTAGAAAGTATAGGTACAATATTAAGTTGTACCATAGTGTATAGGTACAATTGTGAATTGTATCATAGAAGATTTTTAGGAAAGTGTAGGTACAACTTTAAGTTTAGTGTAAAGGTACAACTCTAGAAAGTGTAGGTACATCTTAATTCCACAACCGTTATTTTACCTGAATTAGCTGTGAGAACGTTTGAGTGGCAGTTGTGTGTTTCAATTTCACGTGAGATTTTGACCGGCGTGACAATGTCAAGTAGTAGCCGTGAATTTTCCTGGTATAGTGAGAACTGCTCTTTGCATCTCACGGGACATCTCACGACATTGAGATTTACCTGAGGAATGAAGCACTACTTTTTACATCTCACTTGAGCATTTTACGGTCGTGAGATTACCAGTATGAGGTGTCAGATTTCCAGTAGGAGACTTTCACCTGTTGAACTATCCCCTGAGAAAATCGGAGTGGTTTCCATATCACAGCTTATTCTCACGCCCGTGAGAGTTTAATTACAAGCCGTGAGGCACCTTGGGTCTGAACGAGCAATGTGAAAATTGCACGGGTGAATCTCACGCCCGTGAGAAGTTACAGATGAGCCGTGAGAAATCCAACATTTCAATCATATACTGTAAACCAACCCCACATCGGTTAACAAGTAGATGGGTTAAACCCAAAACCTTAATCAAATGGTTAGCCAACCATATACCCTAAACTCAATCTCACATCGGTTGACAATTAGATGGGTTAAACCCAAAACCATAATCAAACAGTCACTCAACCATATACCCTAAATTCAATCTCACATCCGTTGACAATTAGAATGGTTAAACCCAAAATCGTAATCAAACGGTCACTCAGCCATATACCCTAAACTTCTGGAGACAAGGGATCTATTTAATATTTCCCCAACTAATTCATGACCCAATCTCACCCCAATCTCACGGGCGGGTGATACAATTAAGTAGGCCGTGAGAACTTCTGGAGACAAGGGATCAATGTGAGAACTTCTGGAGACAAGGGATCAATTTAATATTTTCCCGGACTAATCTCACGGCCGTGAGAATATCCAACACAGGGCATGAGAACTCCAGGAGGAGTGCTGGGGGACAATTTCTTCTTTCACGGTTGTTCTAACGACCGTGAGGTTCCCAGCCGTGAAACTTTCAGAATCTACTGACATATGAAATACAAGAAGTATCGAATGAAACACAATGCAGTTCATAGAAGATTCCACTGTTATGTTCACAAAACTATTTCAGAAAACCAAGAAACAGTCAAGACATTACAAACTCAAAAGTAAGTATAGTGCCAGCAGCAGATTTTATAGCCCCCAAGTGGTAGCACCAGAGAAAAGATTTTGATAAGATCTTGATAAGATGGGGTGATGAGATAAGCATCTACCCCATTCACCTACTTTAGCTTCTCTGTGGCAGGAGCAAATTGCTATAGAACCTTCTGCTGCTCTTTGTGGAATACCCATCTTGATCAAGTTCGCAATGGCGAATTCAGCAAGGGCGGGAGGAGGTGGTGCATGCTCTAATAAGAGCTCTTTGAAATGACCCTGTAAGAAAAGAATGTGCACCAATTCCATCAGTGAAATGTAGAAAGAGAAACCTCAAGAGAATGGAAAAAGAGAAGAAAGCCATCCAATAATCAACAAACAGAGCGAGGCCAAACATAACTAAAACTAGGAGGTTCAATAAAAGGAGCAACAGAGAGTAACTTACACAAACTAATCACTCATTTCAAAATTCAATAACCTCTACACTTATAACTCGTCAAGCACCAATTATCAGGTCCAATTATACAACCAAATTTCAGCTTGTTTCCCAATACCAAAGATATAGTTATCATAAAAAGCTTCCACCTTGTGGTAGAAAATCAGTCACTGCAGCAACGAACAAAAATGAAACTTCCATATTGGAAAGTAAACCAGAAATGGATGAACTACTTAGCAATATGCCAATATCGAAGCCACATAGATATTCAAGCAGCCAAATGAAAAAGGGTGTGTGAAAAGCTTACATATTTCTTGCGGCCATAGCCTTCTTCACCACTACCATAGCCATACTGGCTGCGAGACTCCTCCTTGTCATCGTGATCGTAATCATCATTGTGGCGCATCCCATAAGCAGGTTTCTCGGAGCTATCTTGTCTCCGGTAACCTCCAGAGCCATACGCACTGTCTCCTGACGCATCTCATAACGTTCACATACACGAAATCACAACTCTTGAACATTCAGCGTTCATTCATTAACATCCCAGATAGTCAAACTATAAAGTCTACATACACGAAATCAAAAACCTATGTAAAATTTGAGTTGTAAGCAGGAATCCAAGAATCTAAAGATTTTAATCTTACCAATCGCATAAAAGTTCCAAGACACCCTGCAAATTTTGCCAAATAGTACCATAACAAGATCGTGATATCCATATGCAATATCGATAAGCGTAACCTGTCCAAATATGCAATCATGAAATAGAGGTAGAAGCATATACAACGTAAATTCTACCAAGTTCATTGATGTACTAGCAAGCATAGGAGTTGACTTGGGATTTTTACTACATTGCATGCAACAAGACAATTCCACGAGTACCTGTAACCAGGTGTGAACTAGGTTCTTCTCTTTCCTCGGTGATCCGGATCGAAACATCAACAAAATCTGGGGTTTGTTAGAGTTTCGTTTGCACAGCTGGTAGCTCCCGACTTCTTCAGACCTAGATGAGGAGGTGGCCTTCTTGTTGCTGTACTTTGCCAGAGACTCTTCAAAGAGGATGGTCGCGGTCCCTTCAAAGGCTTTCCCTGAGGAAAATGGGCTCTTGACTATAGACTTCAACAGTTAGCGCCATGTCCTGGAAATCGTATCATCCAGCAAAGCAGCAAACTTGGTCTTCCATGTGGGGTTTGCATTTCCAGAGCCATCTTTTGCGATGTTGGTGCAGGCGTGCAGCACTTGTTATCGGGAACAATCCAAACAGCAGGAAACAACTGCCTCTTCCAGAGGGAATAAGAACGCCTAACGCCTCGAGCAGAGATGAGACTTACTTCTACCCATATCTTACCACCCATTGCAGGAATCAGAGTGGACGAATGCACATAGAGATGCTCATCAAAAGAACTGAACTTTTGCCTTTACTTTTCTACCTGAGATCGATTGGTTCTACTTTTCACAAAGTGGGTTCAAGCAGAAAAGAAAAGAGAATAACAATGCATTATCTGCAACCCAGTAGTCTGCACTCTGCATTACTACTTTACTTGGTGAAAGAGCAAATTGAATTTCTTATGCCAAAACCACTAATCAAAGGACAAAATGCCAAACCCGTTTTTGGCTGTCGAAAGTGCACCACAAACAAGCAAAGAGAGAAGAGAATACAGAACTTGTCAATGACACGAAACTCTCTGTTCGGACACTGTAAAGATTAAATTAGTTTATAGATGGATAAGGTAGTAAAGCTTAAGCTTATAGTCGAAATTTCAACAGAATCCCACATGGCGAAAACGAGTAAATATATTGATCTAAGAGACTAGACCAGAGTACAACAATCGATTTCTAACCTGGGTCTGGGATCTCTGCTGTAGTCTATATTCTATCCAAATGGCTGTGGAGTTGAACTATACAAGCTCAGTCCTCTGCAGATTCTCCAACAGTTACCTTAAGAGAAGGTAACTCTCTGGGAGGTGGAATTAGCAAGAGTTTTCTACCTACACGTTTCGCCATGTGATTCTGATAATCTCCACCAGCATTATCACAGGTTGGAGCAGTCCTTGTGTACATCATTGTGGTAGATCCCAAAATGTCATCTCCAAACCCACAAGCTTTGAAGAACGATCTGGAAAACCCAAACCAGAACCACACTCAAACCCTTAATTCAATCAACCTAACAACAACAGAGAATCAATGGGAAGATGGCTTCGCTTAAATTACCTCTCATTGGCAGAGCAAAGGGCTGCAATGTCATAAATGTCTCTGCTAATCAGTATTCTGAAATCAACATAAAGGAGAAACTCACGACACTAATCAAAATCTTTTTGGCACTCGGCAAAGGTACCGCTGGCCAAGCTCCAAGACTCTGCATAAAGGAACTACCTTGTGATTTTCTGAAGGATCATCTCCTCCTTGTCATCGTGATCGTAATCATCATTGTGGCGCATCCCATAAGCAGGTTTCTCGGAGCTATCTTGTCTCCGGTAACCTCCTGCCATATCCGCCTCCGCCACCGATCTCAGTCCTCCCACCATATCTGGATCCGTACTCAGAATCACCGCCAGGCATGCCCCCGCCGGCCTGAAATCCGTAAGCGGGACCAGATCGGGGCTAGGACGGGAGTAGCTGCTCGAGGTAAGAACCTCGTCGCCGTAGGCATAGGGCTCCGATCATAATAAAAAAAACGCTCCGATTTTTTGTACGGGATGGTCAAAGAGTAGAGAGACGATGCGAGATCAAAGGAAGAGATTCGCTGCCTTTGGCTTTGGAGTCGGTAACTGCATTTCCGGTGACAGCAAGAATGGATGTCGGCGGTGAGAAGAGGGTCTCAGATCTGCTCGGAGAGGAGAAGGATAAGAGAATGGGTTTCCAACTTTTTTCACGTACAACCGGTTGCACCGATTGACCATAAACAAATAAAACAATATATTAATAATATAAATAAGATCTAATGGCTGATATATTTTGAAGATAATCTAATGGCTATAAACGTTTTATAGCACCAATACTATAAAGCACACTAAAATGCCTCGAAAGTGTGCACCTGGAAACTTTTCAGCTCCTTTTTTTGCTTTTTATTTTTTTAATTTTTAAAACTAATCCAACATGGAATTAAACTCGCTAACTCATTCTTTCCGTTTGTCTAGTCAGCTTATTAGCTAACACCATTAAAGAATTGGAAGGAAGTGGCTATAAGTCGTATTTCTCCAAATTTGGCTATTAATGGCACAAACGCCAAAATTTTGACTATACAAATGTATTTTTCCTTTTTTAAGTACAAAATCTGAAAACCTAAAATCTAAAATTTGTATGACTTTTCCACTATTGTTAGCTTGCCAACTAACTCTCACGAAAGTACTTTATTTGATATTTTAATTTTTATATTTTGATTATTTTAATCTGAGTTTAATAGTAAATTTAATTTATGTCCTCTTATAAATGGAGAATAATTATAATATTGCAAATCAAATATTATTGATTCGAATATTGCATATTGAATTGCAATATTGAATGTGTAGATGTGATGTAGAATTGGTATTCATTTTTAGAAATATTATTGCAATGATATTGTTATGCAAACTGTAAGTGACCAGTTTTTTGAAATTTTTAGTTTGGTTAATCGTTAAATCCTAAATTTCATGATAATATGACATGATTGGAAAAATGGGCGAGTTTAAAAGAACACAATTTATGAAAACCAATTTTTATAGATGATCTCAATAGGATAATTGACTACATGTATCATTCATAGTTACTTAGTTTAATATGAAATAACGCAGTACAAGACAAATGATGAAAGTCGGCCTGGAGTTTTCATGGACGCGTTGATGGGTTCATGTGGATTAGCAAGATAGGTACCACAAGATATGTTTTTTTGTTGTTGAGTGAATAAGATTGTCCGTCAACTAAATTTAGAGTATCTTGGTTGATAATTAATTTTTTCATTGCATAGAGTATGGATAAAAATGTTATTTTCTTACTAATTTTGTTATTGTATTGAGCATAATACTTTAAGGTTTAGATATTGCTATATATGTATTGTTTCTCAAGCAAAAGAAATAAATATTGACTAAAGGTTATCATCATGAGTTTCCTATTTATGCTACGCTTTTTCAGACAAACTCTTTTTTAGTTATGTCAATTTTCTTTTCAACCATAGGAAACTAAGTAACTACATCATTAAATAGACAAGTTATGAACAGTTATTCAAAAGTGTTATAACCAAGGTTGTGACACTTGTACCAGGCGACTGGTTGGACTAGGTCCGACCAAAGTCGTGCTCCAAAACAGGCTCTACAAAATCAAGGGTCTGATCGTTAGAGAGGGAGAAGAAGAGAGAGGCAAGGGGAGGGGGGAGAGAGGCAAGGGGATGGTGGATGAATATTGAGATAGATATGTTTTTTTTGTGAAATTTGTCTATTTGAGTTTTTAATAGATATAAGTTAGTACATTCTATTTCAATCACTAAATTTCTATCTAATATGTAAATATTTAGAAAAGGTGTAAAATGGCTCAAACAGGTTGGACCTCAATCGAACCATTAAACTTCAAATCACTTACTTGACCGACTCAACGACTTAAACCGGTTTGACAACTTGGTTATAACCATTAAGATTACAATATTCACCATTGATGAAAAGTTATAAGAATTTCGAAAATAGAAAATAATTTCGATGTCACCTTGATGTCATACGAAATTCATCATTTCAATTAATTTAAAAAATTTAAATACACATCATAAATACATTGTGTTCAAATGACATTTCGACCAACAGGTCGGACAACAAGCTAGTCTAAGGAGTGGTTTGGTTTTGGTGATAGTTACAATGTATGCAATATCTACAATGCATTGTTTTTATGAATTTCTGCACAAACAATACATGCATTGTTTGCTTGATGTGACACAAACGATCACTCATTAAATCTCAAGTTTTCTGTGAGATTGTTGAGATTGTTTGATTGACATTGTTGTGTTTTTTCTTCTTCCAACTATGTATCTACCTTTTTATGTCTGTTGCTTTTTTATATTAAAACCAAATGGTAAAAGTGATATTTCACCCAAAAAGTAATATAATTTATTTAAATACTATAATAACTATCACAACAACCAAACGATGTAAACTACAATACACCAATTTTCTTATATACATGTATATTATTATGCAATCATTGATGACAATGCATCAATTTAACTATTACCAAAATCAAACGACCCCTAAGATTGAGCTAACTCAAGAAGAAGGTTGTTGGCCTGGAAAGTAAAGTAAAGAAGACATCTACAAATGATGGAAAGAAAATAGTAGGTGTATGTTTGTCACAAATGATGGACTTCAAAATTTATGATCAATTTCCACCTAAAGTGATGAGATTTTCAAATCCATGGGGCATGGATTTAGACTCTCAAACTCCGTGTGTCTCCATATATTTGTTTAATGTAAGTACATGAAGCAAACAATGGAGTTTGGACAAATTCCACAACGAATGACCAAATCCATCAAGCATTCAACCTGATAGGGTGCTAACACCTATCTGTTAGCACTATACTAATAATTATTAGTAAGGATATTTTCGAAATTGTCATTGACTCGCTATTACTAACACTCTAATTACTAATTAGTGGCCAATTGTAACCACAAATCAAGGAGTAGTATAGTGGAATTAAGTCTTGATTGTCAACCCAGGGCCCTAGATGTATTACTTGGTGAACTGTCTATTATCTAGTTACCACGTTGTAATATTGTTTACTAAAGCCAAAGTAACAAAGCAAAGAAAGTTGATTCGAATTCATATGCAAGAAAGATCACTCAGTTATGTGTCCCCCTAGCCTGTAGTTAGGTCAAAGTCATAATTCTCCTTAGTTCGGTTCGTTGATAAGTATACTAAGGAAGGTCTGGTGTTAGCTTGAAATCTCGACCAAAGCAGGCCAAGCCCTCTTAAACAAATTAGTCGGCAGGAGATTATCCTCAACCGAACGAAAATGCCAAGGCACTGCAAATAGACCTCCTCTACTGGAATAGATTCTAATATAGAGTAATGAATCGATTCACTATCCATGGAATCGATTCAATATTTCCAATTAAGGATGCTCTCTTAACACGCTAATATTTTCTCTCTCATAGGTTAAAACAATAATAAAAAGAATGCGATCAAGACTATATCGATCATGAATAATACATCAATTGAATATAAAAAATCAATTCAACAATCCAAGGTTTCATACAATCATTATCCAAACACATGGAACTAGGGTTCTTCATACCCAAAGTGAGAAGGATGATTACTCCATAGAGAGAGGAAAACCATGCTAGAAGTAGTCATACTCATAAAGATGTTGATATTCTGCTCCGAGATGTCAATTTGCGCTCTAAGAGACGAAGTCCGCCAATGAAGGATTGAAGCTCAAATCAACTCCAATGTATGTTTCTTCATCACTTTCTCTCTCTAGAACTTTGTTTCTGCTGTCAAAAGTCAGATCCCTATAAAGAATCGTGAAAGTGGCACTTAGCCCCGCAGCTGGTTTAAACACGGTTGTGTTCCTTGCCCGTGTTTTAGCTCCAACCCGTGTTTTGTCAAAGCTCATCATTTCACTTAAATTCCTTCTGAGGGAAACACGAGATCTTCATGACAAAACACGATCAAGCCTGTGTTTGGCCTCAACTGAGTAAAACACGACCGTATATCATTTCTTGCTTAGCCCGCTTTCTCCTCGACACATGAAACACCGCCAGTGTTTTGGCCAAAATTTGGTTGTGCTTCTTCAGTTGGAATACAACTGCTTTCCTCATAAACACGACCGTGTTTTACACTGGACAACCTGTGTTTCTTCCTCTGATCCACGTTAAGTCGTCAAACGATCTTTGATTGTCCCGAAACTTGTGCCTATGCCTCTCTTTACCTGCCAGGGCTTGAAATATGATAAAAGAACACAACCTAGCATAAAATAACAAAAGAATACTAGCTCAAACTATCAAGAAATGGGGGAATAAATATGTGTAATAATGGCGTTATCAATCATTCATCCCTTCCCTCCCTCACAAATCTGGATACTCGACTCCTTCACCCTAAACCCACTCCCCTACCATGTCCTTCATTTCTTGACAACAATCGCCATTTTCTTCGCCGCATCATGGTATTTCAGCTATGATGAGATGGCAGAGTTCATAGAGTCATTGATGGGACTGGGCAACTTCGATTCGTAGGTCCTCTTAAAATTCCTCGTTCGATGTTTGTCTTCCAGGTCCATGGAATCCTGCAACATGTTTTTCTTTGGCATATTCTTGTGGGTCGCCACTAGTGGACCCCACCACCTGCCGTCGGAAAGAAGCTCGCCATGGGGTATCGTCGCGCTCATTGTGTTGTTGTATGATATGATCCCAAATTGCTTGCAATTGAAGCCGCCATGGATTGATAAGGAAGCTTGCTCAAGTGGGAAGAAAGACTTGGAAATTTGACTAAGTGTTCTCTTTGTTTCAGGTGACCTACTTCACAGGCTTGGTCGTCCCAAATGGCTCGAAGGAAATTCAAGGAGAGAGTTTGGAACTGAATTACCAATGTTTCTATACGCAATGGAAAGCTTGGATTAGTCAGGAGAAGCCATTATGTCGATTTTACAAGGGTTCCAAAATGCTACGTAGAAACT